AGAGTGCTAATTACATTAAAGAATATGTCTGTTAAGAGTGTCTTTCTAGGAATATATAGGTATACCCTAATTAACAAACTCTGACAGTAAAGTTTCTTTCTACAAAGCCCATTTTTCTTCTTCATTCTCTGTCTTGCTGGAAGATGTTTAGCAGCACTATTATTAAAGGGGTGGTAAAGAAGGGATAGTGGAATAGACTTTCAGTGTTGATTTCTAACAGCATGTCTGTAATAAACAATGCAATAAACCTTGAGTTGGGTAAGAATGGGGTTCTGCTGATTCCACTGAAGTTAGGCATGCCTACCTACAACAGGCAGGATAAACAATGTCTGTCTCCAAAATCCCTTCCTGAGTTTGCTTGAACAGCAAAACAAAGCAAATAAACTTGTATCACTAGATACTCCTCAGCATTATTATTTCCAAACTGGAAATAAGAAAAGAAGCGGCAGGTGAAAGAAAAGGTTATTTTTGGATGCATTTTGGTGAAGTCTTTCAGTGGCCTCTTGAAGGTCCAAGACATTATGTGTTCTCCAGGTTTACCTAACGGGTTTGATTCAGGTAAGTCTTAAATAATGGGAACATTATGAGTAGGGAATAAAAGGTTTACTGAACCATGTTGAAGTGCTCTTCATTGTAATGTCAGAACCTATCCCTATTCTTTCCATGTTATATTGGCCTTTGTTACCAAATTTTCTGTGAATGAATCAATGCCCAGAAATATCAACTTTGTTAAGTGTGAAACCAGTTGTTCATAGTTATCACACTAATAAACCGTTGGCGGATTTACACTGACCCATAACCCAGGGTGGATCAGCATGCTGAACACCAGATTGGCCCTGGGTATGGTCCTCAGAGCAACTCCCCCAGTTGCTGCAGAGGCAGGAGGAAGATCTCACCACCTAACAGTGCTGTATGCAATTTGATGCTGCTTGGCAGCCATCCTAACTGTGTGCCCTCCCCTTGTGTCACATCAGTCTCTGGCTGCAACATGGGTCCTACTTGTTAATTGTTGCATGCTGTAATGTCAGCCAGTGCACAAGGGAGAAGAACCTCCCTCTTCTCCCCCTTGCCATCCCAGCATACCCCACTGCTTAGGCCAATGTAACTAACGGTACATGACAGAAGACAGCTAGGCCCATGAGGGCATGGGGGGAAGGGGACTGCCATCCTGTGTCCCTGTAAACATGGGATGTAATGGGGACAGAAGAGACCAGTTTCATTTTGGTATTGCCCCAATTCTTCCTACAGGTAATAAGTCATGAGAAAGTCTGAATTCTGTGACAAAATTTGGCCAACACAGGACAAGGTTGTGTTACGGTTTACTTCCTTGAATCAGCCCCATGCAGCATTTTCACAAGCAAATACTGAAAGGAACAGAATGTTTCCAAGAAAAGGAAAGTAAATGCTCATACTAGTGTTTAGTTGGTAAAGTATATTAATTTGAAATGAGGTGCAAAAAAAAGTTGCATTGCAAACTGCTGAGAAATGTCTCTGTCACACAAATAAGAACCGTCTCTTTTTCATATAACCATCCAAATTTGCAAACGGAAAAACCGAAAAAACAACTGAGGAGTTTAGACTACATATACAAATTTACAATCTACAATCAGTGGATTATCCAGGTGATGTGGAGGGTGCCATTTCTTGGATACAAAAAATATTTGAAAATCAATAAAATTCTATATATACCTACTCAAAGTACATTAATTCAGCAGGCCTGCTTCCAAATACATGAGTATCTAAGCTTACTTATGTTTATTAGAATAAAGTCTTCACACATAGAATCATGGAATCACAGAATAGTAGAGTTGGAAGAGACCGCATGAGCCATCCTGTCCAACCCCCTGTCATACAGGAAAAACACAAATTACCCCCTGACAGATGGCCAATTTTGTTTATTGCCAGGTTACACAGAGAGATGAGAGGTTTGGCATAGATTCACTGAACTTTTCAATTGGTAGAATATGAAAAAGTGAAAATATGAAATTGAGCAGTCTAGTGTTGCATCCCTTCAATCCACTTCGCTCCACATAATGTATTGAAGGGCCTGGGGACACAGTCTCACTGCAAAGACTCTGAAAAAGGTTCTGACAGGATTCCCAGGCACAGGAATGAAATAAAATATCTCACATGAAAGTGATATCTTCAAATGCTCCACTGCACACACAAGATCTCCTCATCAGGGGCAAGAGGTGTGTGGGGGAGGGGGGGGCGGAATCAGAGCTTAGTCCTACTCCTGTAAGCTAGTTTTCTTGCCATTAAGAATGTCTTGCATGACTTGAAGTGTGCTGTTGATCTACCATCTCAGAACTACATCGATAGCATATTTCATCTGCCATTCTTATAATTGCTCAATGTACATTATTGCATACATAAATATATGTATACCTGAAGAACTCTGCAAAAGCCTATGCTACCATCTTCATTCTCCCTGTCTGCACAATCCCTTTGCATATACTAAATATTCCGTGAATATTATACTAAATATATACTAAATATTCCTTCAATATTTAGTATATTCCGGCTTTCATGTCTGGAATCACTGGGTTGCTGTGAGTTTTATGAGCTGTATGACATTCTCTCCTGACATTTCACCCACATGTATGGCAGGTAGCCTCAGGCAAGTGGATTTATATATCTGTGGAATGTCCAGGGTGGGAAAAAAGCTCTTGTCGGCTTGAGGCAAGTGTGAATATTGCCATTGGCCACCTTGATTAGCATTGAATGGCTTTGCAGCTTCAAAGCCTGGCTGGTTGCTGCCTGGGGGAATCCTTTGTTAGGCAGTGTTAGCTGGTCCTGGTTGATTCTTGTCTGGAATTCCCCTGCTGTTTGAGTGTTGCTCTTTATTTCTGTTGAAATTATCAACATGCTTGTGGATTTCAATGGTTTCTCTGTATAGTCTGACTACGTTCAGCAAAGGACAAAAAGGATCCTCTCACCTCTGTAGAAGTCTACCATATAACATGCAGCAGTGGACAAGTCTACATTGGGACCACCAAATGCAGCGCCCAAACACGAATCAAGGAACATGAAAGGAACTGCAGACTAATTCAACCAGAGAAGTCAGCCACAGCACCTAATGAACCAACTTGGACACAGCATATTATCTGAGAACACAGAAATTCTGGACCTCTCTAACAACCACTATGTCAGACTACATAGACATGCCACTGAAATCCACAAGCATGTGGACAATTTCAACAGAAAGGAAACCATGAAAATGAACAAAATCTAACTACCAATATTATAAACTCTAAAATCAGGACAGTAAATAAAGAGCAACATTAAAAAAACGGGGGAATTCCTGACAGGAATCAATCAGGGCCACCTAACACTGCCTAACAGTGGATCCCCCATCCCTGGGGCAACAACCACCCAGGCTTTGAAGTTGGAAGGCCATTCAATGCTAATCAAGCTGGCCAATTGCAACATTCACAGGTACCTCTAGCAGAGAAGAGTTCTTTCTCCCACTCTTGGACATACCAGAGATATATAAACCCCATTTGCCTAGTTTCCAACAAACCTCACAACCTCTGAGGATGCCTGCCAAAGATGTGGGCGAAACGTCAGGAAAGAATGCTTCGGGAACATGGCCACACAGCTTGGAATACTCACAGCAACCCAGTGATTTCGGCCTTGAAAGTCATGGACAACACTACAAGGAATATTTAGTATATGCAAAGGGATCATGCAGACAGGGAGAATGAAAATGGTAGCATAGACTTTTGCAGAGTTCTTCAGGTATACATATATTTGTGTATGGGTGCATTTATGTACATTGAGCAATGAACGATTTTATTTATTTATTTATTGATTTATTAATTATTCGAACTTATATGCCACCACTCCCCTGGGGCTCGGAGCGGCTTACAAGAACAGGCTAAAATCAAACACAATTTAAAAACAATTTAAAATTTAATATCATAAGAATGGCAGATGAAATATGCTATCGATGTAGTTCAGCACACTTCAAGTCACATGAGACATTCTTAATGGCAAGAAAGGAGATTCCATCTGAACATGAGGAAGAACTTCCTGACTGTGAGAGCCGTTCAGCAGAGGAACTCTCTGCCCCGGAGTGTGGTGGGGGATCCTTCTTTGGAGGTTTTTAAACAGAGGCTAGATGGCCATCTGCCGGGGGTACTTTGAATGCAATATTCCTGCTTCTTGACAGGGGGTTGGACTGGATAGCCCATGAGGTCTCTTCCAACTCTATGATTCTATGAAAACTAGTTTACAGGAGTAGGACTGAGCTCTGATCCCCCCCTCCCCCACACACACACACACACCTCTTGCCTCTGATGAGGAGACCTTGTGTGTGCAGTGGAGCATTTGAAGAATTCTTTCCACACAGCCTGGAAAACTCACAGTAACCCATTCCTTGAAGTGTTTTGGATTTAGGATTTGGTGGGGGAGTACCTGTATATGCAAATATGTACATAATGAGATATGAAGGAGATGGGAGCCAAATCTTAAACATGAAATGCATTTATGGTTCATATAACGTCATATTCATAGCCTGAAGGTAATTTATACACAGTATTTTTTAATTATGGAGCACCTTGAACCACCAGAAAGCAAAGGAGTCACTATCTCAGCAACCCAGGCGGACAATTTTGAGTTTCAGAGTCGTCCAGATTTCGGAATCCCGCATTAGAGATGCTCATGTAACCAAGCATCCCATCCCAGTGACTCAATGAAGGCTCTTTTCCACTCGAGCGTCTATCAAATAAGCCGCTATCATCTTCTCTCCATTCCCACAGGCCTCTTCCTCGAAAGGCATTCAGCCACACCGGCCTCTTGGCCCCGCCCCCAAACTGCCCCGTCGCTTAGCAACGGAAAGGCAGGCCACGCCCGCAGAGGCACGCGCCGCTCTCTGGACTATACCAACCTGGGACGGGGGGAGGGAGGGAATAAGAAGTAGGAGTTGGTTAAGCGGGATGTACCACTTCCCTAGGGAGGAAATAAGGAGGTCAAAACAAAGAGCGCGGAGGCCCCACCTGTCCCGGAGGTGCGCCTGAAGGCGACGAAGCCGCTCCTCACAGTCACCGTCCCCGCAACCAGCAGCCGAAGGGTTCCACACCCCACCTGCCCCGGCAGCCATGGCACAAGCGCGGCAAACGGGCCCGTCCGCCCTTGTTTATTTCCCGGCGTCTCTAAGCTACAAGAGGCGATCCCGACATGCACGGCGGCCGTCCCGCCTTCTCCCCACCAATAGCCAATCACCCACCTTGCCATGAGGAAAAGCCACGCCCCTCCGTCTCCGCTCAGAAGCAGGAAGGCGCGCTGTCAGATAGGGGAGGAGCCAACGAGGCCACGCCCCTTATGCTAATCTAGCTTTGGGCGGGGAAAGGTCGTCTGCAGTGTGAAAGGAGGCTTCCTGGTCAGTGGGCAGGGGCTGGCAGAATCACCTTTGAGCGTTTATTTATTTACTAGCCGTCCCCTGCCACGCATTGCTGTAGCTTAGTATGTGTATATGTGAGTTGTGTGTATATATATGTGTGTGTTTAAGTGTGTATATTTATTTCTGTATATGTGTATATATGTGTGTATATATCTCTGTGTATATCTGTGTGTATATATTTATGTATTTCTGTGTGTATATGTATATTGTGTATATGTGTATATATGTGTATATGTGTATGTGTGTAGGTGTATATGTATGTGTGTGTTGTTGTTCATTCGTTCAGTCGTTTTCGACTCTTTATGACTTTATGGACCAGTCCATGCCAGAGCTCCCTGTCATCCTGGCCTAATTCCGGGTTTGTTGTTGTTCATTCCTTCAGTGGCTTCCGATTCTTCGTGACTTCATGGACCAGCCCACGCCAGAGCTCCCTGTCAGCCGTCACCACCCCCAGCTCCTTCAAGGTCAATCCAGTCACTTCAAGGATCCCATCCATCCATCTTGCCCTTGGTCGGCCCCTCTTCCTTTTTCCTTCCATTTTCCCCAGCATCATTGTCTTCTCTAAGCTTTCCTGCCTTCTCATGATGTAGCCAAAGTACTTCATCTTGGCCTCTACTATTCTTCCCTCCAATGAGCAGTCAGGCTTTATTTCTTGAAGTATGGACAGGTTGGATCTTCTCACTGCCCAAGGCACTCTCAGCACTTTCCTCCAACACCACAGTTCAAAAGCATCTATCTATAATATCTATGTATATTTGTGCTTGCGTATATATGCGTATATGAATGTATGTGTATATGTATATATGGTTTATTTCGGGGGTTTTAAAGTCTGTTCTGCTGGGGGGGGCGGATTTGTGTATTTTTAGGGGTGATGGACACTCGTTGGCCTGATAAGTGTGTTGTGTCCAAATTTGGTGTCAATTCATCCAGTGATTTTTTGAGTTATGTTAATCCCACAAACGAACATTACCTTTTTATTTAAATAGATTTATTTCCTATATTGATACCCCGTCCTTCTCACCCCCCCCCCCCCCGGAGGGGCGGACTCAGGGTAACCTTGCCTAAGAAAACTCTGTGAAAACCATGCTGTTGTGATGAATTGACAGGCAACTTGCAGGTACATCTACACGTAGTACAGAAGTATGCATAGGATTGCTGCCCAATCCTTCTTTCTAAGCCAGTGGTTCTCAACTTGTGGGCCCCCGGATGTTTGGTCTTCAACTTCCAGAAATCCTAACAGCTGGTAAACTGCCTGGGACTTCTGGGAGTTGTAGCCCAAAACACTTGGAGACCCACAGGTTGAGAACCACTGGGTGATTGTATGATAGCTGGGTCCCCCTGCTACGGGTGTTACGCTGTTTCCGCTTCGCTCCATTCTGCGCAACGCAGAACGGAACACATGACCGAGACAGGGAGGCGGAGTGAGCGACTGAGGCAATCAATTTAAGCCAGGCCGGACACAGATAATATAGAAGGAATGTAAGAGTTCTTTAATGGTAAAACACTAAGCCTAACCCTAAACCCTAACTGTAACCCTAACCCCATCCCTAACCCTAACCCTCCCCTCCTTTCTATCCTTCCTTCAAATGCAACTACGAAGTATAGTCCTGCCCTCACTCTCCCCGCTCACTCCGCCCCCTCTTTCGACCACTTGATCCCTTCCCTTATTCACAACCGCCTTTCCAGCATCTGCATAACTCTTAGGGGACCCAGCTATCATACAATCACAAACCACTGTGCTAAACTGTTGGAGTTCAGCCTGTGATTGTGTTTCAAAATCAAGGTGCTTTGGATGTGGGGAATGATGTTAATGAGGTTGAACCCAATACCTTGGATCAATGTTTTCTAGTTCTTTGGATTTTGTTAGAGAAGAATGGACTTTGTTTTTGGACTTTGCTAAACCTTACTTTGGACTAATTTGTTCCTGTTTATCTTTTTCCCTAATTGGATTTACCTATTCCTTTAAAAAACATTTAAACTTTTACTTATCTTCAATAAAAGGATTGTTTTTTCCCTACTCAACGTGTGTTGTTTTAAAATCAGAGGGCTATTCCTGTCCTGGAGGGCAACATAAACTATTTTCCCATTGAGGAGTTAGTATTGTGATTGTTGTTTCCACAAGGCTTTGTTTTGGGCATCCTCAGGCCTCAGGTTGGCAGCACGCATGTCTCAGTTGATGATGTCCATCCATCTTTTCTTCGGCCGTCCACATGGACGTCATCCTGGCATCTCCAAATGCAGTACTGCTAATGCTACTGATGTCGGTTCTTTTGTCATAGCCGTTCTACTATAGTCTTGCTTCCTGCATTTTCTTGCTAGTTGCTTTTATTCCTAGTCTTTGACAGATGTCATCATTTGTCGTATGGTCAAGTGTCAAGCCAAGTGTCCATCTCAGCATTTCCATTTCCATTGTGTTAAAGGCTTGTTCGTGTTTGTTGCTCGCCGGCATCCTGCCTCGTAGGGTTGCTGGGCGAACAACTGTAATGTATTTATTTTATTTATTTGGAACATTTATACCCTGTCCTTCTCAACCTCCAAAGGGGGACTCAGGATAGCTTCCAACAGGCACCATTCAGTGCCGGCGCAATATAAAACGTATCATAAAATACAACCATATACTTTAAAACAGTTATAAATATACATTTAAAACACTTTGCCAGGTTAAAATTGCCATCCAAATCAGTCAATTCCCATCAAATAAAGTCTTATCTTCACCAGTAAATCAATCAGTGGCTGATACCAAATGAGAAACTCCCTCCTGGGCACACAGAAAACTGGGCGACTTGGAAGGCGCTGAACAGACTGCGCTCTGGCACCACAAGATGCAGAGCCAACCTCAAGAAATGGGGCTACAAAGTGGAATCCATGACATGCAAGTGTGGAGAAGAGCAAACTACAGACAACCTGCTGCAATGCAACCTGAGCCCTGCCACATGCACAATGGAGGACCTTCTTGCGGTAACACCAGAAGCACTCCAAGTGGCCAGCTACTGGTCAAAGGACATTTAATCAACTACCAAGCTTGCAAATTTGTGTTTTGTTTGTTTGTTTGTTTAAAAAATGCAATGCAAGTGTTTGGTCTGCTCCTGACACGATAAATAAAATACCAGTAAATCAGTCTATTCTGCAAACGCTTGATCCCATAGCCAGGATTTGTTTCTTCCAGAAGGTCAGGAGGGAGGGGACAGATTCAACTTCATTAGGGAGAGAGTTCCACAGCCAAGGGGCCACCACGGAGAAGGCACTGTCTCTCGTCCCCACCAAACGCAGCTACTATGGCAGTGGAACCGAGAGCAGGGCCTCCCTGGATGATCTTAAGGTCAGTGGTGGTTCGTAGAGGGAGATATGTTCGGAAAGGTAAACTGGGCCAGAACTGTTTAGGGCTTTATAGGTTAAAACCAGCACTTTGAATTGTGCTTGGAAGATAGGTGGCTAATGGAGCTGGCGTAACAAGGGTGTTGTATGCTTCCTGTACCCTGCTTCCATGAGCAACCTGGCTGCTGAGTGTTGGACTAGCTGAAGCTTATGTAGATCTTAGCCTTGAATTGTTCAGGCATTTTTGAGTCACATAGAATGCCAATTGTTTGCCGCCATATCAACCAGGCTGCATTTATTTGTGACCACACGTTTGGTATTGTGTTGCCCACCATCAATGGAGGCCAGTGATCCTCGATATTTAAATTGGTCACCTTTTTTTAAAATGCTTGTCCATCCATTTGAATTGTTTTTTCCAGTTTGAAGGCCACATTCCAGATAATCTGTTTTGGGCATGTTCAGTTGAAGTCCTTTTTCACTGAGTCTATCACTCCATGTCTGCAGCTGTTGTTGGAGGACTGCACAATTTTGGCGGTCGAGTGCAACGTTATCTGCATATAGGAGTGTCCAGGGATGCATAGTCTGCAAATCTGCTGTAGCAGTGCCGATGCAGAGTATGAATAGTAATTGTGAGATTCTGATCCTTGATGCACACTAAAGCAACATTGAAGGGTGGTGAAATCCCTGCAGGGCAGCGGGCCATACTTGTTGTATTATTGTATAGTAGCTTTATCTATGTTACATAGCCTTGTGGTATTCCATGTGACCATAGTGCTCACCAGATCACGTCATGGGGAACCTGCTCAAATGCTTTTTCAGCATCAAGGAATGCAAAGTGCAGTGGTTTCGTCTTTTCCCAATGTTTTTCCATGAGTAACCGGACAGCATATATTGCATCTATTGTGCCACATCCCATGACAAAGCTGCACTGATTTGATGTAACAGCTGTGTGACTTCTTAGCCTTTCGTCCAGTATTATTTCAAATAAAAGAATATTACTGTCCAATCTATTATCCCATATATTGAATGAATTAAACCCACACCAGAATTCTCAAAACAAAACAAAAGTTCTTACCAAGAGCTGAGCAAAACATCACTCAAAACCACAGACCAAACAGGCTTAAACTGATTTTGAATACACTATGAAAACCTGCATGGCATGCCACTATCTTTGGATAATTGTCATTTTTTGGAAGTTTTTCTGTTTGATGTGTGAATGTGCAATAAAAGTATTGTCCCAAACATATTAATCACATTTAATTTAGTGTTAATTTTACTCATGTATCACTTCTTTCCAGAACTGTAAAAATGAGATGTCAGAATTTAAAATGCAACTAAAGATCCATCTGTTCCTGTATGCCTACCCAGCCAACTCTGAACCATCAGTTTTGGATTTTCCTTCTATTTCTGCTGTATTTTGATATTTGTACCATGTGTTTTGGTGTATGTATTTTATAGTGATGTGCTTTGATAAAAGCATTTTTA